ATATATATGTATATACAGTATATATACAAACAATTCTTGGCCAAAGCTGTGTGTCCAAGTTACCTGTTGTGATGTCTTAGTTTGGTCTTTATTTTGACCCGACAGGACATAATGCCTGTGCTGAACAACCGTGCCGCCTGCTGTGCCTGCCTCAGCCTAGCCAGCGGTACACCTGTGTTTGCCCCGATGGTATCCCCATGGTAACCATGCCTGATGGAGAGCTGAAGTGTCAGTGTCCCTCTGGCTACCAGCTTCAAAACCAAACCTGCATGAAGAACGGTGAGACAGACTGAAGCCATGCTGCTGTGGATCTTTGATGTGTGACCGTCACAGAGTGGACAGAGGGCAGTTTGCACATGATTCTTCTGTTTCTCTTGTCAGATTTCAGCTGTTTGCCCAACCAGTACCGCTGCTCCAATGGTCGCTGCATCAGCAGCATCTGGAAGTGCGACAGCGACAACGACTGTGGAGACATGAGTGATGAACAGGAGTGCCGTGAGTTTCCACCTGCAACGTTTCTCCCACTGCAAAGAAAAGAAATCAGCTGTTAGTTCAGCAACATTTGGACCACAGATAAAACTTGACCTAAGCCTAGATTTGGTGCATTAAATGTTTTTACATTACTTCTATATTTTACACATTGTCCTGTAATATTTAAAGAGGACACTTTTTAGTCATTAAATACATTTTGTTGTACTTGGAGATTGTAGGAGGCAGAAAAGTAGAATTTAGTCTGTCCTGGTGCTGAAAGATATCTTTTTTTTCTGTTTGGGTCCGATTGTTTCAGCCTGTTCAGTTCAGTAACACTAACCTGTTTTCTGAGTTTATTATGTCGTATGAAAGAGTCAGACTCTGTTTCCAACATGTAGGACTGGATGAACATGTTTTCTGTTGTTCACATCTTTTACTTTAATTGTAAATAAAACATTTCAGAAAGCTAGAAAAAGTAATCCCCACTCTCAAACCGAAGTGGACCGGTCTGGAAGCAGGAGGGGGGCGGGGCTTGAAGCATCTTAAAGGAACAGTATCAAATGCAGCTGCTTTCAGACACAGCAGAAAAGGGGTAAAAGAGGGGCTGGTACAGTTAAAATAAGTAGTAATTCAGACCAAATTATTGTAGTTCCACCTCATAAAGACCCCGACTGAATGATTAAAATGTGAAAATAAAGGATTTAAAAACATGACATGTTTACTTTAATCTAAAATAAACTCTGTTTTCAGCCACCACTACTTGTGACCCATCCAACCAGTTCCGCTGTGTGACGTCAGGCTCCTGTATCCCCCTGGCCTTTAAATGTGACAATGAAGATGACTGTGGTGACAACAGTGATGAAGAGCACTGTGGTAAGAAAGGTCTTAGTGTCTGCTTGTCAGTCCTCCCAGCATCTGTGTTGAACACGTTGACACAATGTTGCTTTATATATTTTCTGAAGCATGTTGTTAAATGACCAGTAACACCATGTGTGTGTGGCAAAAAGCTTTTAATACCTTTATTGTAGCACTTTATATGATTTAAGAATGTTTGAAAAGTCATTAAAATGTATTAATTGAATTATCAATGGTTTTGTTGTTTTGATAAGCAGCTGTTTTTCCCCACTGGAACAATGCACGTATAAACACAGTGCTAACACCATCACATATTGGCCCCTACAGTACAAAAATACTAATTTTGCACCCAAATTTCTGGTTTTTTATGTTTTAGGGGTTTTACTGATTTCTTCAGTTGATATTAGAGGTTGAGCTGGAACACACTGAGATGTGTTTGTCAAGTAATTTTCAAACCAATCAACTGATCGTTTTGATGGTGCCATGTTATGAATGAATGAATGAATAATTTATTATGATCAACAGTAAAAAGTTCTGCACACTGTCATTTGAAAAGCCAATAACATCTTTAACTCCTTTAAGGCTCGTGTTGTAGTGCTATGCTTTTTTCTAAAACCAGATTGAAAGTTAGACAAAATGTGATTTTTTGTGAAACACTAGGAGAGTTGCACATGAAATGAGATGCCTTTTGAAACAATCAATCAAGATTATTTAATGTTACCATTAAAAAAAGTTTGAATTTTGCATTTCTGATGGTTACTGTTTTAATTCAATTTAGTTCAGTTCTGTTCATTTCAGTTCAGTTTATTTATATATCTCCAAGTCCCAACATGTGTTGTCTCAGGACACTGTAGATAAAAAGAACAATGTAAAGAAGAAAGCAGCAGATTGTGTTGAATCACTTCATCACAGTCTCCCATCCTGAGCAAACGGTGGAGAGGAAAAACTCCCTGCTAATCAGGAAGAAACCTCCAGCAGAACCAGGCTCAGGACAGGAGACCATCTAAAATGGTAAATGGACTGAACTTCTAGAGCTTTATCAAGTCCCTTTGGACCCCAAAGCTCTTCACACTGTAGACATTCACCTATTCACACAAACACACACACACACACACACACACACACACACACACACACACACACACACACACACACACACACACAGAGGAGCGTGCTCAGCATGTGGACTAACAACAGATCATTCTGCTTGGATTTATGTTTTGAGTTTGAGTTTTGTGAGGACCACACACACATATGTGCCTTGGTATCTTTGTGAGGACCACACACACATACATGCCTTGGTATCTTTGTGAGGACCACACACAGCACTTACAGCCTCGCTCTGCGCACAAGAACCCGCGGTGTTGGTTTTTCAAAATAAAGTACATCTTAACTTTTCATTGATGTTTAAATAGGGTTTCAAAGTCTGATTGTGGTTAGTATAAGAGCGCAAATATAGGACATAAATATATATGATATGCTTTACATTGTTTTAGCCTAATATAGGCCTATTATAAAAAAAAGAAGAAAACTTTATTCTGAAAGTGTGGTGGCTATGATTTTTGCCATGGTGATGCGCCACGAACAATTACATGTAGGGGAAACCCTGCTGATCCTGAATAACACCAAGGTTCTTTACATTAGAACTGGAGGCCAGATTAATGCATCCAGAGGAGCTGAAAGGCTACAAAGTTGATCCCTG